ATCTTACAAATCCGTCGCTGGCTTCTTATTAATTTCGGGATCAAAACTGGCCTCCTGAACATGGCTTACAAACTTCTATATGATCAAGCCCTGTCTGCCTCTCCTATCACTATTCCCTCCCATGAGAATTCCTCCATCCACAGGGCAGTGGACTTGAATTTCCTTCCCTTCTTCCATAAACCAAGCTCTTCCTTGCTTTGGCGCTTTGCACATGCTGTGCCACCTGCTTGCCTCACTCCTCCCACCCTGCCTTCCCCTGGCTAACCCCTACCTGTCCTTCTTGTCCATCAGACCTCCGCATAGGTCCCACCCCCTCCAGGAAGCCTCTCCTCATCCCTACCACCCCTCAGAGACTGAGGTGGGGACTTCTCCCTGGCATCTCCAGAACATTATAACATCTCTGTGTCATAATGATTTGTGATTATCACTCATCTATCTTCCCCACTAGCCTATGGGCCCTGTGAGGGCAAGGATCAACTCTAGCTTATTCTCTGCTATATCTACAGTAACCATTGTGGGGCCGGGTTCACAGAAAGGGCTCACTATTTGCAGTCATTATTATAAATGTTTGTGTAATGTCAGACTGCAAGCATTGGGAGGAGAAAGGAGAGGAAAGGAGAGGCCAGCCTAGTAGTTTTTCAATTCTAGCCACACAACAGAATTAGCTGGGTTGCTTTATAGAAATATTAATCCTCCAGAGATTCTGATTTTTTGATCGGAGGTGGGTCTGAGCATTTCTTAAACCTCTTCAGATATTCTGATGTGTAGCTGGGGTTGAGAGGCCCTGGGTGGGCTCTAATTCGGAGCACACAGTCTCAGCTCAGTACATTCTTGCTGGCTGGTAGCCAGCTCTATTGCTGGTGAGGCGGGGTTCCCAGACATTTATCCCTTCCCCCACATTCCCTTCCTTGGGGAATGGCTTCCCGGCCTGATGACCAAAGCTTCCCCCTCTGCCTACTCCCCCCCAAGATGCACCATGAAGCCAGCCTGGCAGCTTCTCATTGGCTCTGTGGGGAGAGAGCTGGGCCCAGAGGGAGGACAGGGGCGGGGGTCTAGCCCACCAGGCTGGGTCCTTGGTTTCCTGCCAGAGCTGGCCCCAGGGAAGTTCAGTTGGGTCAACAAATACTTGCTGAGTACCAGGCAGGACCAGGTACTTTGCCGATGGCTGGGGAGACAGAGGTGAATCCGGTAACTGAGTCTGGCTGCTGATAAGCTCCATACCCAGCCCTGGGCCAGGACTCAAAGAAAGGCTGGTTGAGGACGGGAAGTGGCACTGGCTGTTGGCACCATTAGCCCCCAAATCCACCTCCATTATCGCCTAAACAAAGGGGAAGCTGTGGTCATCATCTCCCCACCCCTGCTGGCCTCCACATTTACTATGCCCCTGTGTGGCCACAGCTGTTGCATCAGAATCCCCTGTGAAGCTTGTTAAAAACACAGGTTCCTGGACCTCACCCCTAGAAATCTGATTCAGAAGGTCTGAGGTGAGGCCCAATACCCTGCATCTGCAATAATTCTGATGCAAGAGGTCACTGGTGATTCCACATGCAGCTGCCTGTAAGAACCACAGCGATCTCATTTCCCCAGGTGGGTTTATGCATTTTGGGGGAAGGAGATACACAAACAGCATGGTGTTTCCTGGGCTCAGGGCCCAGCCGCACCTGGCTCTAACTGACTTGCTTCACAGTCGTCACTACCCAACATTCTCCAAATGGGTACTGGAAGCACTGGGCTGGGTGATTTGCTTAATTCTCACCTCAACCAGGAAAAGCTGATGTTACCCTCATTTTATAGACCAGAAAAGGGTAAGTTAGTTCCCAAGGTCATAGAGCAAAGACAACTAAGTTGGGCTTCCGGCTTTTGAGTTGCTCACAGACCCTGGGAGAAACTAACTTGTGCAAACCACCAGTAGCTCTGGGCAGAATGAAATCGAAGCAGCAGGAAAGGTAAATGCAAAGTACTCGGTAGGTGCAGAGAAAGAAGCAGTTAATGCCTACTGGGGAATGGCGAGGGAGGCTCCAGAGGAGGTGGTGGCATTTGAACTGGACCTTGGTAGATGAATTCAACTCTGACAATCAAAGAAGGAGGAGGAATATATCAGGCAGAGGATGCAGCATGAGTGAAGTCATTGAGGTGAGAATGCATAGTAGGAACAGCAGGTGTTCTGATGTGGTTGCAGTGGAGGGTATAGGGAAAGACATGGGAACGATGACACAGGAAAGGTCAGCCAAGGCCTCTTTACTTGGTGGGCATGGGGAAATGACCAGAAAGGTCTGAATGGGGAAATAACAAGGCCCATCTGGCTTTAGGAAGGTAACTTTGGGGAGATAGGGCTGAGTGGAGATGACTAGACGTGAGGAGGCAAGAATAGTGAGTCACTCCACTACTCTGGGTCAGTTTGTTCATCTCTAAAGTAGAGAATAATTGTCCCTCCTTGACATCTGTCCCAGACTTGTTGTGAAGAAGGAAGAAAATGGAAGATGGGGAAGGGTATGGGTGACACCCATGGGGACAGACGGAGAGTCAGAATCAGCGTGTGTGTGCAATGATGTACCTTGGCTGGAAACCCCAGTGCCATGGCTACAAGACACAGGGGCATCCAAAGAAGATATAAGACAAGCATAGGAGGAGGTATGTGTCATCTGAACCCTTACTGAGAGAGAGATAGACAGACAGAGAGAGAGAGAGAGTTCAAAGCCTAATGTGAAGCAGGGCTGCAAACTAACTTCCTTCCCCATTTGAATGGGGCCCAAAGGACAGAAGACTGTTTCCCAGAGAGCCTCAGGGGCAGCTTCCCTGAGCCAGCATCTCATGGAGGTCTTGACCAGCACCAGCCTCTTGTCTGGCATGGAGATGATTGTGGGAGAAACTGCAGCCAAGAGGGCTCAAGGCCCCTGGGCCACAGTGACATGAGCATGACCTGGTCCAGAGGGGTCTCTGAGGGGGTCCAGTCCAACTTCTTGCCCCAGCAGGAATTGCTCCTTCAGGGTCCCCCAAGAGGGCTTCCAACCACCTGCCTCACCCTAACCCTGCCCCAGCCCCTGAGTCTTTGTCATTCTTCCAACCCATCTCCATTTGGAGCCAGCACTTAAGCCATGTTAGCACCTTTAAGCCTCACAACTCTAGGAAGTGAGTTTTTCAATCCTAATTTTTCTGGTGAGACACTGAGCCTCAAAGAGTCCATACAACTAGCATGTGGAAAAGCCACGATTCAAACCCCGGCCTGGGATGCTAAGGGCTGGGCTTCTCCCTACTGCATCACGCATCTCTCAGACAGGGCTGAGCTGTCCTTTATAGACCAAACATCTGGAGGTCAGAACACTAAGAAGCTAGTAATGTAAGGGCAAGGTGTGAGTTGGTGAGATCATTGGAAAATACTTTCTGGAGGAGGCAGTGTAATTCTGGAGGAGGGAATTGGCAGGCCAGTCTGGAGGCCTTGGCCTCTCTGGGCGCAAGCTCTGGACTTTCTCAGTTCTCTCAGAAGTAGGGAGGCTGTCTTTCCCAACAGATACAACCCTGACCCGGCCTGAGTCTGGGGAAGCAAGTCCAGTTCCCTCCTCCTATGTAGATTCCTTCCAGATCTGTGGGTGTTTAGTCCTCAGGAGCCTGGAAGAGCACATACTGTCTTGAGACCTTTGACATCTACCTACAATGGCCACTTATTCTCAGGATATACTGATGCCATATTCACACCCCTCAGGCCATGACGTCCACAATGGGTGGGTCTAACCAGCCAGGGATGGTTGAGTCCAACAATTCACATTGTTCTGTGATACACTGGCTTCATGGTGGAAACTTCCCTATTCAGTGGAGAGACCACACCTTTGTTTTACATTTGTGTAACTGAAGGGCCCATTCGGTCATTTCCCCCAACAAAGGGCTAGAGATCTCAGAGGAGCATGACCTTGCCTGTGGAATGACCATAATTTCTTCTCTTTGTTTCCATTGGTTTTTCTTGTTTTTTTTTAACCCTCCTACCTTCTTGTATCCTTACTAGTTCCAAGTGTAGCAACCATTCTAATGATCTTTCCACCAAAGCCATTGCCATAATTCAGGCCCCATCAGCTTTTCCCTCTCTCCTAGGCCCCCATTTTCTTGATCACATCCCAGTCATCTCCATCTCACCCGATCTGGGGCCAGAATTGTTCTTCTTGCTTTTGCTTTGGATTTTATTTAATTTTTTTTTTTTTTTTTAAATCAAAGTTACCCCAGAATATAATAAGGAGAGTCAAAGATTTCTACAGGGTCATCATGAACAACTGCAGCCCTGATCCAGCTCCAGAGGTGGCCACTTTCCACTCTTGAAACTGATTCTTTGGAACATTCATTTTCATATCTCTCAATAACATCTCACATGTCCTCTTCTTGATCTTTGCAGTTTTAGGAATAGTTTATTGATTTCCTGCCCTGGGAGATGAGCAGTTCTTTCACCTCCTGTGTGTATCACATCTACTTCCCTTCCCAAAACAGTAACATATGGTAATTTGGGTCATTGACCTTTTATAACTATGTAAACACTACAGCTAGGTGAGCCACATGGTGGACTAGGATTATTTTTTTCCACCTTTCCTTTAAATTTGGGTAATAACCAGTTCATGGGCAATATCAGGCATCATGGCCTAGTAATTATTTGGCTCAAGTGACCCCAGCCACTGACATCACCAAATCAAACCCTCATCTTCTTCTTGTGAAATATCTGCAGCCAGACTATTGGTGACTTTACCAGCAAGATATGGTCCCAAAAAATCACTAGTGTCTATTTACTTTATGTTTCACCAAGAAGCCACTGAATAGTGCTCTGAGGGGTATTCCAGAGTCAGCGTGGGTTTAAATTCAGCGTCTACCCTCTGTGCCTATGAGAACTTCAGCAAGTTACAGATCCCCTCTGAGCTCATTTCTTTATTTGTAAAATGGAATTAAAGGATCGAACTGCCTGCTTTATAGGATCCTGATTGGCATACAATGAGATAATACATGTAATGTACGTAGCACATGGAAAGCATGAGAAATGGTGAGCATTATTGATCCTACTGAGTTAATTATTAGGAAGGGCTCCTTTAGTGGGTATCCTCCAATGAAGAAACAGCACATTTCAAAACGTCCAGGCTTGTAGAGTGGTCGCTGGTCACATGCTCCATCTCCTGAAGAGCCAGCGTTCCTGTGCCCTCTTTACAGAGGAGTGCTGTGCGAGGCCTCAGCCAGGCGCTGGAGGATGCGGGTGCAGACTGGTAGGATTCCTGGCCCCCAGGGAGACAGGATGGTCTGTCCCCTGCCCTCTGTGTTCCTGCTCCCTCACTTCACTCATTTGGATTGTTTCTGGGGCTGTGCCCTGCAACATGGACCTAGTCATGTTAGGCTCACTTTTTCTGGTTGCTCCTGGGAGAAGGTGGACCATTTGACCCTGTCCAGTTCCTTTCTTGTTTATTGCGGGGGGGAGGAGGGGTGTTAAATCAGATCTAATACGTGCTAATTTTAAGAAATTCAAACAGTGCAGTACAGACGTGTATAAGAGAAAAATTAAAAATATATTTTTCCACCCTAGAGGTAACTGCTGTTAACGATTTTCTGTGTACTCCTACAGGATTTTATTTTCTATGCTTCAAAACGTTTGTGTGTATAGAATTGGTTCATACACTATACTCAGTTATATAATACAAGGCATATGTAGTACTATAGAATGAGATCACACTGTATGTTCAATTCTGCTCCTTGCTTTTTCACGTAATAATGTATCATGGACTGCTTTCCAGGTTGATCTAGATACCTTTGGCAGCCTCCTGTATGTTTTTTGAGGTTGCTTCCCATTTTTACCAAGACAAGAAATCTTGCGGTGAACGTGCTCTTGGGTATATCTTTGCGTTTTTGTGCTGGTATTTTGTAGAGCAGAGTCCTAGAAAGTAGGTTTCTACAGAGTGAAGATGAAAACAGTTCAGGAGTTACTCAACAGCCATCTCACTGGCCCCTTCGCCTCCTGGAAGATGACCCCCGCAGCTTCCATAACTCCTGCCCCACCTCCCTCCACCAACCCACCTCTTCTCCCAGAAAATGTCCAGTCCAGGCCAGGCTGAGGCAACTGGAATGTCTCCCGTGTGTGGCTGAAATCACTGAACCCTCCTTTGCTATCAGTGCTCATGGAAAACGAAAGGGCTTAGCCACTTGAGATTTAGGGAGCATGTTCTCATTTCATCCTCTGCCTGAGTCTGTATCTTGCCTTCACCTCTTGCAAAACTGTTTACAGATCAGAGATGACTACTTTTCCTGCCTTTGGCATCTCCACAAAGCTCCTTAAGGTTCATAAAATGAAGAAACTGAAACCCAGAGAGGAAGTAGCCTTCCCAAGGCCTGCCTCTGGCTGCTGGGTCAGAATCTGGGTGTCTGGACACAGAGGAGGTGGGGTGGGAGTGTGGAGGTGGAAAGAGGTCCCAGAGGTGGGGGCGGGGAGCTGTGTGCCAGGCCCTTTACCGCGTTACCCCCATCACCATGCCATGAGATGGAGGCAGCATCCTTCCCATCTCCCAGGTGAGGAAACCAAGGCAGATGTGGGTGTGAAACTCTGTCAGACTCCTGAACTTCCCCTGTCCGTCCTCTTCCTTCGACCTCTGGAGTCTGCTATCTGGACTGTGGTTCTCAGGTTTGGGGACTTGAGGTATCTAACAGCCCTTCCAGGTGTCCCTGCCCCTCAGAGTGTGGTTCCATTGAAAACACCGACTCTGCTCCCGAGAGGGCCCAAACCTAAGTGTCCCAGCCAGGCTGCTGGAAGCTTCGTCTCCCTGGCACACCCCTTTGCACACAGCCAGTGAGACTCTCAGGCAGCCTGACCACCCCTCACCCCCCACAGGATCGGAACACAGGGGGTCCTGGCCTCCCCACCCCTCAGTAGGCACCCCTGGTGACTTCTCAAAGATCATGTAGCACAGGAGGATCCAAGTGGTAGGAAGAACTCTCATTTCCTCCTTCCCCTTCCCTTGGCCAGCAGGTCGACCTGCTCCCTCTCAAGGAGTCTGCCTAAAAGGGGCGGGGCTAAGGGAACACCCACCTGGACTCCATCAGCCGCTCTCTGCTCCCTGGAAGCCAGGGACTCTGGGCAGGGCCTTCCTTGTTGGGACTCCAGCCTCCCACTAAAACAGCAGCCCTTGTTGCTGGGCACTGTCAACAAAACACTCCCTGCAGGCCCAGCGCTTGCTGGGGACTGAGAACAACGGTCTTCAGGGAGAGGCCCCATTTCCCAAGGCTAGCTCAGAAGGAGAAGTGGGGCTAGCTGGGAGGCAGCTGCGGCTGCCTTGCTGTTTGGAACAATTGCAGGAAATGCAGTCTCCTCCTCAGGCCTACGCACCTCCATCCCTCACACACTGGGAAGGGTGGGCTACCCAGGCAGAGAGAGAGCCCGCTATGGGCCAGTTTGCCCAAGCAACCCTGGAAGAGCCCTCTGAGGGACAGGCAGGGTCCAGTGGACACCAACCGCAGCTCACAGCAGCTCTAAAGCCCAGCTCCACCCAAGGCCACCTGTCTGTTTTGGGTACAATTTACACCATCCTGGGCTGGTGGAGGCCCCTCAGCAGCCTTGAGGGATCCACTCCTGCCCTTCCAAGCTGTTCTATAGTTTTTTAATCTTCAGTATTTTTTTTCCTTATAAAAAAAGCAGAACAGGCTCATTATTTAAAAATATTACAGATGTGTCTAAAGCAGAGGGTGAAAGGGGGCCCCCATCCCAGTCCCAATATATGGTATGTAGGATAGGCTCATACTACATGTACTCATCTGCAACTTGCTTCTTCAGGGAGATTTCTTTGAAACCAAAGCCCTTCATGTCATCTCCATTGATCAGACCACTCCCGTGGCTCCTCACTGCTCCCAGATAAGGAACAACCTCGTTCCCTGGGCTCCAAGGCCCTGGCTGCCTGTCCTTCTGGTCTAGCAGCTCCCCACTCCCAGCCACATTGCCTTTCCTTCAGGCCCTTGGCCTCTCTCCTTCCCTCCTTCTCTCTCTATCTCCCTTCTTCCTTCCCTCTCTCTGTCTCCCTGCTTCCCTCCCTCTCTCCCTACCTTCCTGCCTTTGCACAGGCCTTGTCCTGTCCGAGTCCCCACCTGGAATGCTATTCACCTAGTGACCATCTGTTCTTTCAGGTCTCAAGTTACTTCTTCAGAGAGGCCTTTTCTGATCCCCTGCTGTCTCCCATCACAGCTGCGTAGATTTCTGTGTAACTATTTGATGGTCTTGCTCCCCAACCACTTCAAAGAGGGCAGGGATCTCTTATGCTCACTTTTGCCTCCTAGTGTCTGGCACATTGTAGATGATCAATAAACACTTATTGAATAAGTGGACATAATAAGTATTAATTCACCAGTTGCTTACTTGGGCCCAGCACAATGTTGGGTTTGGGGGATATTCAGTGGAATAATAAGACAAGGGCAGGTTCTCAATGGTTGACAGGGGAACACACCAGGGACGGAGGGTAGGGGTTTGGGTAAGTGCTAGAATGTCATTTCAAGGGGCTTCAAGGGTGTGGGTTTCCACGTCTCTTTGTAATATGGTTAAGTCCTTGCCTGAGTGTCTTCTCTACTCTTCCTATTGAACACAGGCCCCTGGAGGGAGAGGCCTTTGCTTCCACTTCTCTCCAGCCCCTCCTTGCACCCCTCCCCAGTCCCCCTATTGCTACTTAGCCCAGGGCTGAGGTCTACAGGCAGTGTGTGTTAAAAGGACGACACGTGGATGATGGATGGACGGATGGATGGATGGATGGATGGATGAAAAAGCTGAAAAAGCAAGAGGACCTCAAAGATACATTATCCACACTCTGATTTTTAAAATGAAGAAACTGAAGTCTAGAGAGGTGGAGTTCATCTCTTGTCACTTTCTCTCCTCCAGAACTCCTGTTGATTTCTTCTCTATAAACATACCCTCCAACCCAAACAAAACATGACACCTCTTTCCCTCTTCCCTACAACCTTTCCCCTGAGCTAGGAGGCTCCTCTTTCCTTTCACTGCCAAACTTCTTGAAAGACTTGTAAACTCACCCCCTGGTCTTCCTCATCTCCCATTACCCCTTGACCTCTCAGCCTCTGCCTTCCATCCACATGGTTGCTATGGCAACTGCTATGAAGTTTCCATTCACTAGGGACTGTCTAGGCCCTGAGCCCTTCTTGGGCCCCAGTTAGTGTTTGGCATTGTCACCAACTCTTCCTCCTGAAACCCTGAGGCCCTGCTTTTCCCAGGAGCCACTTTCTTCCTCTTCAGAAGACTGTTGTCTTCTGGAAACTTGAATGGAATCTCTTTCTCCCAGCTTTCTCTGCCACAGATTTAACTTCAGCTCTTTCTCTGGTCTCATTCTGTAGTCTCTCAACAATTATTGGGTGCTTTCTGTGTACTAGGCACCGTGCTAAGCTCTTAGCTGTGTTTCCCCCTGCAGTCCTCACGCCGACCCTCTGACGTGGGTGTGCTAATTTCATCTGTACTTTGCAGATGGTGAAGCCAAGACCCAGTGAGGATAAGTCAATCACCCAATGCCACACAGTTGGTAAGTGGCGTCTTTGGGATTCAACTGAGGTCTTACACTATTTCCATGTCCATGCTCTTAGCCACAAAGCCACGCCTTTCTCTCAACTGTCTCATTCACGCTCAGGCCTCGCTTCTCTTTTTATGACTCCCAAGTTAATATTTTCAGAGGTGGTTTCCCTCTGGAACTCCAGACTTGCTCTTCCAAAGGCCTGTGAGATTTTTTTCTTAGATATGCCTCCTAAAGCTCAAAGCCAGACTCCTCAGATCCCTTGCCAGGCTGACCTTACCAGTTCTGTGCTGCAATGCCTACAGGGGCTCCCCAGCGCCCATTGATCTAGGCGCAAGCTCTTCCCTCTCAGGCTCACCTGCTATATGACCCCCTCCCTGCCCACATCCCCGTCTGCCAGGATCTCCTCCTGTGTCCTGCTTCTGACTCTCTCAGTTTTCCGAAAGAGTTTAATGCTCCCTGCAGTGGTCTCTCTCTCTCAGAGAGGGCCTGCCCTGCATGCCCTTCCTTCCGGTCCCCCTTGACCACCAGAAATCCTTTGTATCTAGAAAATAGACTGGCAGGAAATGTACTAAACATACTGAATATCAACAGTGGTTACCTCCGGAGGAGTGGGGTGCCAGGTGACTTTTATTTCCACATCTGTTCAGTGTTTTCCAAACGTCCTAAAATGTGTATGTTTTGCTTTACAATCAGTGAAGAACTTGTGCAAATAATTTCAAAAAAGAATCTTCTTCCTCCGCCCTGCCCACTTCCTCTGGAAAGCCCTTCTGTCACCTTGTCCACCTGAGGCCTCCCTGAAGGTCACGATGAGGCTGCCTTCCCCTCTTGAGAGCCAGGCTTCTCTCTTGCACTGAGATCCCCCTTGTCCCCTGCGGCCCCCTCCCCAGTGTCCTGGGTGTGCTGGGGCACCCCAGAAATGAAGGAGGAACAGAGTTGAAATAGACACATTCACAAGAGTATTCATCAAAGGAGCAGAAGACTGGGGGCTCATTAAATGTGTCTCAGTAGGGGCCTGGTTAAATAGCTCCTGGTAGGTCTAGGGGTTGCCCATACCCATTAGAAAGAAGGACATAGATCCCAGCTGCCAATATGAACCAATTTCCAAAATACATCGTTAGATGAAAAATAAGAGTTCCAGAAAAATGTATGTAGTTTGTTCACATTTACATAAAAAGCAAAAGGATAGACTCACATGCACATATATATGTACTTATATGTGCTTAGAAAATATCCTTGGAAGGATTCCCCCAAACTGGCAACAGCATCTGCTTCAGGTAAGGGTACCTGGGTCGAAGGGATCAGAGGAGGCGTGAGTGTTATTTCTGTTCAGTTTTTAAAATTTGCTTGCATGTACCTTTAAAAAAGAGAAAAGGCAGTTTACAAACAGGATTAAAGTAATTGTCAGGGAGCCCACAGCTTTTAAGTTAGTGGGAGGACCCAAAGCACTTAGTCCCTCCTTCCCACTTCCCCTCTGGTGGGCCTTGGTGGGGGAGGGAGTAGAGAGCCAACACCATCCCCCCCAACTCCATCCCTGCAGGTGGATGGACCCCTACTCCAACCCGGGTCCCATGCGCTGAGGCCCAAGAGATGGTCTCCAGCAGGGAGCTAAGGCTGAGCGTTGGGGAGGGATCCCCCCTGCTGACCACGCACCCTTTCCAGGTGGGAAATAGCTCCTCCCAGGAGCAGGCGGGTCACCACAGGCCTGTTTGCACGGGTGCTTTGCCACACCCTTGTGGGGCACCTTTCTCAGGGTGGGGAGCGTTAGCTGACGGGGTAATGACTTGGCACCCTGGCAGCTGCGCTCCCATAGGAAGAAGCAGTGGCCCGCATGCTGGGCGTGGTCGGGCCGGATGTGGTGGGAGAGACCTGGCTTCTCCTCTGGTTAGGACTCCCTGTGCTTGGCCTGGGGCAAGGGCCCGGGGGCATCACTTATCTTCTCCTGCTTAGGGGTCGTCTCTTAGGGGGCACGGATCAGACCTGGACACAGCCCAGGAGGCTGCTGGCCATGGGGAAAATTGTTGTCAATAATAATAAAAATTTGCGTTTCCTTGGAGCCTTTCATCTGAGGATTTCAAAGCACTGAAAAACTCAGATATTGTTTGCAGAGTGAGAATTTGGCTGGACCAAGAGCTTAGTCACCAAAGGTGAGGCAATCCAAATCCTTCTAGCATCATCCATCTTGCTCCCAAATGGACACACCTACTACCCTCATCACCCCAGGCCTTGGGGCCTAGCTTTGTCCCCACCACTTGCCTGTCAGCCACAGACAGTGAGAGCCATAGACAGTCTTTGCCACTTGGGACCAGTTCAGCCAATGGCCAGAGCCACCTGTGCTGGGCCCCCAACACTGTGAGTAGCCCACCCATTGGTCAGGCTGGGAGTGTGGATGGGGAAAAGGAGCACTGGCCTGGAACTCAGGGGGCCACTGTTCTCATTGCTGTGGCTACTCACAGGGCAAGTCCCTTTTCCCACCTGGGCCTCAGTCGCTTTATCCAATAAAAGGCCTTGGAACTCTCCAGGGGTAGCAAACCCAGCTAAACAAAATCCTGGCATTTTTCAGGGGAGCTTCATGGCTTTTGCCAATGCTCAATTCAAATATAATTTCCAAAATACATTTTA